TTTAAAATGAGATAGAAAATTTCGAAAATAAGCGATATTGAGATGGCTGTAAGTCCCCCAAAACGCATTCAAATGTCAGAAGTGACGTGTTCATTGGGAAGCTCATCCAACTCTCTTCAATTTCAAAAAAAACGTCCGATTCGGCGGAGTTTCTGAAAAGTTACGGACCTCCGAAAAAAGAAGACGATGTTTTTAGGTGGCTCTATTATTTTGACCGCCACTGTAGATCAGAGCCCATAGCGGACTGTCTAACGGTGCTTCGAACAAGCGTTCAGAGAGTCGATATCGCGGCTCGAGGCCGGAAGTATTCTCCGCGCGCGGGACTGAGACTCCAAGAAGGAGATCCCGAGCGAATAATTCACTCTCAAATCCAGGTATGATGGACATCGCTCTATTGGCCGCCAACGCTTCGCAGCTCAAGGCTGTGCTCCAGCAAAGTCCCCAATATGGACCAAGACCTCCGTGGAATGCTGCATGCCTTGCTTTCCTCGGACTCTCGATGGCGCTCCAAATGATTCTAGGTCAGTCCTCTCCCGAGACCTTGTCTCGATCCGCAAGATCCTGATTTCCATCTTCTCCTTCATCTTAGGGGAGCCACGGAGAGATTTCCCAATAATTGACGTTTGTTTGCGCAGGTGGTCTTCTGGTCACCGTAGCTCGCTGGAATCTCAACTGTCCTTGGGAGCAGCGGCGGGCGGACGTTGTGAACAATATAATTGTCGTCGCTGTGTTTCTACTCACCATTGTCAATGTGCTCCTAGCTGCCTTCGGACCTTCAGACCCTACGATACCTTTTGACAACAGATACGGTCCTATGCCTCCTGATAGAGTTAAATTCAATGATAGCATGTAAATAGCGATGTAGCGGAAGAGACGTTCGCACAGCCTGGGGAAGTTGGACGCTTTCTGGTTCTCATTTTGATCCTATCCAGCTCTTCCTCTCCCTCCCCCTTGTTGGATGACCGAATCAGCACAATAAAGTTCATGTTCATATTTTGAATCGGAGTCGGGAGCGTCATATAATCCGGAGGAACCAATCTTAAACTGAATCCCCGTGCTCGGGATCGGCAAGAATCTCCGATTCCCGACGGCTTCCGAGACTGAATCGCTCACTGCTGGAGTCTCCAGCCTCGGCTTCCATACACAGTTCTGAGCTGAGGACAAAGAAGGTACGGTGAACTTGTTCCCCTGAATGCCGTGGGTTTTTGACGAATCTCTCAAAAAAGAGTCCCGACTTACACGCTCCAGAGCCTATCAGAAAGAGCTCGTAGGACCGGTCATGTCACGAAATGACGTAATGATGGCGACAATTGCTCAGCGATCAATGTGCGACGTCCCTCATTCAGACTGCATCTCCGTAAAGGGTTTGGGGCTACACATTGATCGAGGCTCAATCAGGTGTCATCTGCAAATCTGAGGAATTGGGAAAATCATCAGGGGACAGTCTGTGGATGAACGAGCTCGCATTCGAAAAACGCGTCCGCTCTTTTCCCGCCGGAATTTCGAACTCTCGCCCTTCCCCCTGGCCAATAGGAGTTCGCCAACTGGGTTTCTGCTCATTGAGCCGTCATCCCGAAAGAAAATTCGAACGCATAACGTGTCACTTGTCGAATCGGTTCATCTCAGCCCCATAGTCGCGCCGTAGGGTGTTTCGTGCTTTAATACACTCTCACGATGAAGACCATCGGATGGGCGATCCTCGGTTTTTGTGTCTTCGCCACCCCTTCGTTAGCGCTGAAGGAGGGCGAATGTGAAGGTGAGAAAGCCGGCATCATCGCTCGAATCTTCCTGAATTCTCATCCTGAGCGCGGGATATTCGTCTCCTCCTGAAGGAGCGCTCACGAAGTGCAATTCAATCGGATCATCTGGTAGCGCGGTCGATCGATCGGCGGTTCAAGGCGACTCGAGACAGCGAGTTCGGAGACGTGTCCTTTTATTGATCACGGAGTTCGCAGCGCTGATTCCGTCCTAGAGGATTGCACTCTCTCGGTAGCGGAAATTCCCACAGTGGTCCGGTTCCGGGCCATTGGGGAGTAACCGCAAGGGGCGAAGGATTCAGCATGTTCTAGAATATTCTCCGCACTGAACAGTCTAGAATAATGAGATACCGGTCCAATGAGTTCCCTTCTGCTTTTCAGTGTGCGTTAGCGTCATAGAGAAGCTCGACAAACTTCTAGAACCGGAAGAGAAAACGAACCAAGATGCAATCGAAGCCAAGTTCAGAGACTTTTGTCTAACTTCGAAGAAACAGGACAATCGTTTTTGCTATTACGTAGGAGGCTTGGAAGAGTCTGCCACAAAAATCGTGGGCGAGCTGTCGAAACCCTTGAGCTGGGGAATGCCGGCGCTCAAGGTTTGCGAAAAGTTGCAGAAAAAAGATCGACAGGTCTGCGAGTTGCGTTACGGTGAGTTCTGCCCCAAGGATCCTGAAATCATAGTCTGCTGACCTCAATTCTCCCATTCCCGCCGAGGATACTTCTCCTTTCCGAGAGAATCGGAGCGTCTCCCCTGTGGTCCCCAATGTATTGTCAGGGTGATATCGTGATCGGTTTTTCTTTCCACTCCACAGAGAAAACCATTGACCTCAAAACCGTCGATCTGAAGAAGCTGAAGATCCGCGACCTCCGGAAGATCCTCAGTGACTTCGATGAAAGTTGCGATGGCTGTGTGGAGAAATCGGAGTTCGTTCACAAAGTCGAAGTTCTCCGAGATCTTCAAATGAAACAGGAACTATGAGCGGGCCAACATTCACATTATCGAGGAATTCCCAAGACCGTTTGCATGATCTAGTGTACATTTTCTTTGAATTCACCCGATGGTCCGCTCCAAAGAAAACTCCAATGTTCTCGGGACAAGCGGATACCCCTCCGCTACACGATTCGTGAAGGGATCCGTCGGGTTAGGAGTGTATAATAATATTTATAAGTAGGTGGAGCTGAAAGATAAAACCAAGGAAAATAAAATACATCGTTCCTAAGATATAATCAGTGCCCCTCCTGTATCCTCAGTTCTCGTATATATGTCTCGAAGCGAGAAGATCAGCTCTGGGATACCGGGAAGGGTGGTACCCCCAGGCTCAGAATCCGCTCGCTCCAATCTATTGGAGGTACTCACGACGGGTTGCTTGAAATGAGCATCAACCAGGAGCCCTTGGTGGACCGTCCTCTGGGAACACGGCAGAGTAGAACGTATCAGTGACAGCGAATATTGATTGCAACCTTGGGGCGACTCAGTCAGCTTGATGGGTGGACACACTATTCGAGACATCCTCTCCGTTTTATATGCCATGTTGTTTGCACCAGCATCTGCCCATGAAAATCGAAGTTGCTTCAACTTCGCGAATGACTGAACATGATTGCCCATTGATCGTGGAAGATGATTGACGACCAATGACATGATTCTTTCCCTACTGGTGGAGTCATGGCCAGCGAGTCGATTTGGGACTTCACTTCGGATGGGACCCAGAAACTCCTCTCACGCGACGATCATGGCAATATTTTCCCGAGATGATGGAATGGAATGACCAATATCGCGAAGCTTCTGGAAAATTTGCCCTCCGAATGACTCGATCAGGGAATCGATGAGGGAAGCCCCAAAACTTTAAATGAGTTTGCTGACGTCTCGACTCTTCGAACAGCGTATATCCATTGGAATCTTCGGCAGAGTTTCGGGAGAGGGACAGAGCCTAATCAGTAATCAGCAAGAAAGGTTTATTTCAATTATTATCGTTTGCGTCAAGTGACGGGTACTCGATTTTCAAGAATGGATCGAGCGAGCAATCGATGAACTCGTCCCCCGACTCCTCACCGAAAATCGTCCTCATGTTCTCCATGAACTCACTCAAATGTTTTATCATCCATGGAAAACTCCGGGGAAACTTCTCTTTCATGAGCTCGAGCTGCGATTCGGTGATGTTGACTTTTTCGCCGCATCTTTCGAAATGCGACATGACAGTGGCCGAGTAACAGAATCCGAAATGAGGGAAGCTTTCTCCGGTGAGGTTGGCCACCTTCTCCATAACGTCGTCGACGTTGGTTGCGTTAATTTGCTGGAACAGCTCATACGACGCTTCACCTTGTTCTTGTGTCACGTTGGCTTGGACATTACAAAGATCCAAGAGCGTCAAGAGGAGACCAGTAGGGGTGACGAGCATTGTGGTGAGATTACCGTCAATCGCTCCCTCCGAGTCTGGTATCGGTTCCTCGAGTTCCTGACATCTTGCCGTCACGAACGTCAACACTAACAATGAGCACGTCAACTTCAACATTCTCGGTTCCCTACGGATCGGGATGCGCGAATAGAATCCCTCCTAGGAGGAACGGGAGGATGCTCGTCCGAGACCAGGTAGGAAGGGTAAGAGGAACGTGACACCTCCTTTCCATGGTCACGCTCTGGACTGACAGACGAGACGCTCACCTGATGACTTGGAAGTATCAGCGGCGCGCTCAGATTGGGTTGCACCAGACAGACAGACCGACAGAGCGAATTTTGGAGAGATTCGAAAGGACATTTATTGCCCGCGGTGAATGAATCACGGTATGGAATATTGCACACGAGAATCGATCATTCACCAGAATATCTAAGTTTGCGTCGTTTCTTCCCATTCTTGATCAGGGCGGCAGCCTCCGGTGAGCGAACCGCCGTTTTACCTCTATACCTCATCAATCGGTACGACCAATGGATCGATTGCGCACATGAGGAAATTGAAGCCGCGTTGCGGTCCAAGGCTTTTCAGGTTCTCGAGGAATCGAGATCGCTTCAGGGCCAAGGACCAGAGATAATTATGAAAGCCTCCCTTGAGATCCTGCTCCTCAGAAGTAGTCACACACACGAGCTTTGCGCATTTCTCTAGAAGATCGTTGATGCTTTCCGCCATGCAATCCCTGAACGAGTTCGATACGAGGCGGCCGAGCAGTTCCTGCATCGACATCACCAAGTGGTTCACTTGATCTGCTCCATCGAGACTTTGGAACAAGTTTCTGAGTTTAGCCGCCTCCTCGTCACTTACACCGGTGGCTTTGCTGCACTCATTCACCAAGAGTAGCAATCCCTCGCCAGGGAGGAGAACACCTTGCTGGAGCTCTTCCAACTTCCCCAGGAAATCTTCCGTGAAGCCGTCGATCTCGACCAAGGCTTGGACTTGGAAGCCCCCGACGTGAATCAGAGCGTACACGGATAGGAAGCTCGGCACCATCGCGATCCTCATTCCGCTGCTGGGTGGCTTGCTGAGACGATCACACTCCTGAAGATCAGAGCTCCACCGGAGTAAGGACTCGACAGAAGTACGGTCGAGATGGTTCCAGCATGTCCTGACTTCGTTTGAATGCTTGATATTGAGAAAGATGCCGAGGGATTCAGGGTCTCTGGTTACCACGCTCAACGACTCTCGTATAGCAATCGGGAAAGGAAGATTAGCCTCGAAATATGACTCCTCACGAGGTCGTTCGCCGCGCTGATGACGCCTTCGTTTACGTTAGGGTCTACGAGCCATGGACGAGTTTGATCGCTCGAAAGCTCCAAATAGTTGAAGCATCTACGAGATCCTGACTGAGACCCAGTTGTCCCGGCGCTCTACGTGGGTCTGATCGCGCAAAGCAACTCTGATAAAAGGTGACAAGCTCAACTCCGATCCGATATCCGTGATCCTCTTCTAGAATCGGAAGAATTCAGTCCTCACTGAGGCTCTTCCGTCGATCGAAGCCCCCCCCCCTCTCCTCCTTCAACCTTCGCCAGAAAATGATGCATTGTAACGATCGGAAAAGATCAAGTGAGAGCGTTTGGTGGGGCAATCAGGGAATGACATCCCCCAGCAGAGCCCGATGCATCGCCCTCAGGCTCGAAAACTCCCCTCGCCAGGGACAGGCGGATCCTTTAGTTTCGAGCGGTAGAAGCCCGACGCCATTGGACAAACTTCGTCTAGATGTGCTGAGGTCAAAGAGTTTGCCGAGGATATCCCGAAGAGCCACTTTTATTGTTCAGAGACTCTTCGATGAAGGAGACTAGACGGGGTTGGCACAAATCCCTGAAAAGAGAGGCATCCCATCTTCCGCAGAGACCGCGAAGTAGAAAGGTTTGTCGATCAGAACGTGCTCTTGCATCTGTCTGAATGCACAGTATGTCGTGACTGCGATCGACGTCGCTGCTGCTGCTTTCGTTCCCTTCTCGTCAACCTCGATCACACATTTGTGTTTTACCGACGAGACGGATACCTTCTCGAGTACCTGGAAGCGAAATTACATGCAAAGTTTTTCTCATCTCCTTCCTTCCGAGCGCCTAGACTCCCATTCGGTGCCCCATCTATGAATAGCTCGAGGCTTCTGAGGTCGGAACCGCCCTCAGATTCCGAGGTCTTGACGTCGAATATTCCATTCAAGATAATGACTCAGAAAAATCCCCGAAATCATTACCGTGCGAAAAATACAAACAGCTAGCGACAGAACTTTAATATCCGATATACACAGATGATAAACGTACCACTCGAAAATTATATGTTCACATCGGACCTCGACAAATCCCCGCGAAAGCAACGGAGTCGGCGCAAAGAATTTGGAAATGAAACGGCCTGTTCAGGACCACAACTATATTCTCGGGTGGCAATCTGCCTAAACTCATGCGCTTATTCATCACAATTGCCGTGGCTGCTGCCGCTTTCGTCCCTCTCTCGTCGACTTCAACAACAGCTCGATGGAAGATGGTTGAGACGTGACTCGCCAAGTCCTATGAAAGCGAAGGCAGCTCTTAATTATAGGTCGCGATTATCATCATATCGATGGGAGGACACGAGCCATTCATTCAGAGAGTCATGGAAGGATCCCAATCCTCACATCCATCATCTGAACGCGGATGTTGAGTCAGGACGGAAGGGGAGCCGCGGAGTCAAAACATGTTTGCAATCCGACCGATTCAATGGCTCCTACGAGGACAGCGTTCCTCTCGAGCTCACCCAGAAGGAGGGGAAGGGTAAGAGGAATCGTATTATGGTCTCAGAAGCCAAAAAGATCATAAATTCGGAAACTTCGCGACTCCCCTTCTTCCCTTAGTTTCCTCGCGATAGCCGCTGTACCTATCCGGGAGATCCAGACTCGTCCCGAGAGCTCTTTCCCACGATGATTCGTCGAATGCATAAGGCAAGTGATTCTTCGGCTACTCGGGCGCCTAGATTCCGCTCGGAGATTCTCCCGGGAGCTCTTTGACATTCGTTCATTCCCTAATGAGTCCTTCGAAAAGACAGAGGTCAATCGATCCGGCGTAGATGCCGAAGTAGAAGGGTCGATCGACTAAGAAGTCCTCGTTCATCGGCATACATCGGGCCATCATCATCATGCCGGTAGCTGCGGCCGCCCGAGTGCCGTTTTCATCTACATCAACAACGGTTCGATGGAAAAGGTCCGATACACAGGGGGGTCGCTTCATCTGCAATTCAGTCGGGACCTTATTCGCATGGTGATCATATGGAATGTCCAATCGAACATGGGATCGGAACAAGTGGGAGTGAAATCGCCAGCTTAATGGGAAAATGTGGGGACCCGAAAAAGGAGTCTGTCCTCACAGATCGAACGAGAAGGCAAGAGTGCGCTCCACGATCCCGGAATATCAATGTCGCGGTTCCCGGAAGCGGAAGACTGTTAATTGCACCGAGATTTCGTGATCGCTCACCCGATTTCGGATTAATCATGTTAGTCGAATCTCCCGCATTCTCGATTCTGATAACTACTCATCAGCTTGAATTCGAAAGCGACCGACACTAATCTTCCCCGAAACCGTTTTGACAAGTCAGGGCTGATATCTCCATTAGGAAAACTCTCTGGGACGCAATGGAGCCAAGCCACCCTTTACCCACCAGGGAGGAAGTTGAAGCCCGGCGCTGTCAAGTTTGAAAGACCACGACGAGGATATAAGCGCGAATAGGATCAGAGAAGCTCCAAGAAGACTCACCTCGCTGTTCGAAAACATATTACTGAAGTCACCGACGCCGGCCTTGAAGATTTTATCCACACCGAGTTGCTGCATGTGACTTTTGACGGTTTCGAAGCTATACTCTATCTTGAACTTTGGCATTGTCAAATCGACCGGGAGCCCTCCGCCGCTCTCTAGATTCTTGATGGCTGTTGCCATATCGGCAGGACTCATCTGCTGGAGAACGTCATCTGCGAAGAATTTAAAGACTCAGATTGAATGGAAGTCTCGGGGAGCGGATCCGATTAGAGAAGTAATTCCTACCGATGTGCTTGGTCCCGTCGATGGGTAAAGCTACAATCATGTAGCATTTCGCTTCATTGTAGGGGATCTTGACCAGTCGGAGCTTGTCGGTTTCACTGTAGTGGAACTTCTTCGAGGTCTTCGTCATGAAATCTTTCTTCACAATCGTCCCATCTTTAAGTGTGAAGTCCAGTTTTCCGGGAACGGGCTGGAACTCTTGAACCCATGTGCCTAAAATCGCAATTCATCTGAGTCGGAGCATTCGTCCGTTCGCACGCCTGGAAATCGTTCCGTTTCTGGAATCCCCGATCAGCTGACCTACCTTTGAAGTAAACCGCATTCAGGAGCACCATGATGGTATCGGGTGTGAGAGAATTCGCGGGCAAGAGAGTTTTGATCATGTTGTTCGTCTTCTCCGCTACCCATGAGTTGATTTTTTGTTCCACCGCTCTGCCGTTGGCGACGAAGTCCACGGTCTCCACCTCGGACTGATATTTTGTCTGGAGAGGCCGATACAAAGTGATTCTCAGCAAGTCACTCTCTGTCTCATGAAACCCTTCTGATAGCTCCCGATAGCTTCGTGGGCAAGCCACCAGAAACAACAAGATCCCAGCGTCTACAGGGAAGATTCTGCAAAAGGCGGATGTCTCCCCTGAGCTCCTTATCTCTCCTCTGACAGGAGAATGGACTCACCTTGAGAAACTCGTCGAAATCTTTCAAAACTGTGACCTTATCCTGAGCGACATATTTATTCGCAATCTTCAACGGCAAATCCTTGTTCGCCAAGACGGAAGCATACATTTCGTGCAGGGCAGTTTCGTTCTTGCATCCTAGGAATTGGAGGAGTTCCTCCTTCGTGTCTCCTTTCAGACCAGCTGCCAACATAGCGAACGCCGTTCCCAAACTCAGGGGCGAGAAGACAAAATTGCTCTTCTCATCTTTGCAGAGCTTCTGCAGGAGAGAAACTCCTAACTGATGTTTGCAGTTTGTGCCACTCATCCTGTGGAAGAGAGCTCTTAGAAACATGCCTGCCCCCGAATCGACTCGCGTCCGGCTACCACTATCAGCAGGGCAGATAAATCCGCGGAGAACTTATGATTTCGTTTTCTCTCCAAATCAATCCATGGATTTCGTCTTACTCCACGAACACCGACGCGGGGAAGGTTCGCGTGAACGCCCAATTTCGTCGATAGATGTTATTATCAGTCTATCAGTGAGTTCGCTCAACCCCCTATCGCTCGAAGATTCCCGGGGATACGCGAGACGAGATTCTGGCCGTGTTTCGTAACGAGTACCGGAGGAGATTCATCCCTGCACTCGACCGCAGCGACGGCCCCGAATTACTACGACACGGTATTCCGCGAGCAATATATTGTATCGCTTTTAGAAAGGTGCCTGCGGCATACTAAGCTATCGACAACAAGTATGAGAATCAGAATCATCTGACGTGAGCTGAAATCGATTCGACAGCCTATGAATGATCCATGCTTCCTCTGTCGGAATTCAATGCCGCTGTGGGCTCGCGTGACGAACGATCGTCAACCGACGCTCGGCGCGGCCCGGTATCTTTTTGTCAGCAATGACACGCTGCCAAAGTTCTGCAAGCGGAAGTAATAGCCCGAGATGACCTCATCCATGGGAATAGGACACGCCCGTAGTGATCCGTAGCAGATGATAGACCGAACGATCTGGTCTCGGTCTCTCTTCAAAGAGATCGTGGAGCTTGTGGAGGAAATTTTCAACATCTTCATAGCCCTGATCTCTTCTGCCCGCGTTTGAAGCGTTCGAGATTCGGGATTGTTCCGAATTCAGCTACCCACCTCGAACTCAGCACCGCCGAGTGCCACAGAGCACAACACGTTAAAACTATGGACAAAAACATTTGCTTTGAGCGCGGAGAACCCACGCGGTTTAGCCGGTGGAGATTGCTGATCGACTGACGGTCAACGTAACACGCATATTTCTTGTTGTCCCCAGACAGAATCCGACGGAATAGAACTCACGTAAAGCTTCGAGTTTCACGGCGGCGAGGCGGATTTCGTCCCGCGATGGGATACCGATGGCAGCTGACAGCCCTATACGGGGGAGAGAGAACTCGGCCCTTGCCACGATGAGTCAGAACACGACCTTGTACGTCAAAGCTGAGTTGCCACTCTCAGTTCGTCTGATGATTGTTTTCTTGCAGTAAGCTGACTCATCTCGAATAACTCCGGAAGACAGTTCATCGCCTGGGTTCGTTGATGTGAAGGAGAGGCAGAGAGGGATCACTAGGGGATACATTCCATCTCAAACGAAATCCTCTGTTGTCGGGAAAGCACAGCCTTGGCATAATTCGTCTTCCCCCTTGAGGGGAACAACCGATCTGAGCTACGGGATCCGCAGAGAGAACCTTAAGCGGAGCCACGATTGCCCCTCGAAACTCGGCAGAGCTCCCCGAGTCATCGGCCCGTCGAAGTTCTGGGCTCGATGGATGACGGCTGGAACCTTAAGGAGCCCGGAAGTTGCGCCGGCTAGATCAACAGAAGCGAGATGAGGCTCGTGTCAGCGGGGTAAACAGACCTTGGAATACCCAGAGAGTAAAACGAGGGGAGCAGGGGGGATAGCGCGATTTGCAGAGAGGGAGTTCCTGTCGAGCCTACTCCGAAGATTTTCTCAGCTTTACTCAGGTATCACCCGATCGGAACTACCTAATCCGAAGTCATCCCGGATACGGTCCGGGTCCCAACGCCGCCCTGGCTCGAATGAAAATCATACCGTGATCAATATTGCTTCCATTGGTCTAGCCCCGTCTCGTCTCGTGTTTGTCTTCCGTGGAGTCACAGTCTCCTTCAAGTCATCAGCTACTCCATGCTCCCGCTCTTCCAAGGACTTATTCCACACAGATGGACCTCGTCTTCGCGAACATCAGGTCTCAGGTCGGCCGAATATCCTATAGGAGGTATCTCTCGGGCGGGGAAAGCTGCTCGAGTAATATCCTTGCGATTCACGACTCGCGACCCGTTCGAGACGGCAATCTGGATCCTCTATGTCGAACGGTGAGTCGAGTTGGACCTAGGACAAGGATACCAGATCTTGCAGGACGATGTACTCTGAACCGAAGGAGGAGCGATCCCTCGGCTCGACCTGATCTTGAAATAATGGAGAGGCATGAGGGGGACCGGGAACCTTCCATTTCTATTTACCTTCGAGACGCGGCTCGACTCTCCGAGCGGTGCACGAGGAATCGAGTCGCACTCCATCAGTCACTCCGCACGTTCATCAGTCCCTCGAAACAGTGCGTCAGCCGCAGGGCGTCCTTCTTGTAGAAGAAAGGATTCCTGGTCGCAGTCCTCGCGACGGAATATGTAAGCGGATCGTGTCGCCTGCCTGAGGTAGCGTTTTGGGTGACCTCTCGCTCATTACCATATCCTCTTATTGTTGCTTATCGTCGCACATCGCATGGGCTCACAGGGGCTGCTCATCGGTGCTTTCGTCCCAGCCCGCGAATTTCTCTCTGGTTCCACTCGATGCGGAGATTCCTCGTTACTCCGAGAGCTGCTTAAATTTCCCCTAAGCATTCGCCCCTGCCCGAGGAATGAGCCTCGCTTTGCGAGAGAAACATGACGTCCGCAGGCAAAGGATCGAAAAGGACCGTCCCACCCTCCTTTGATGCTCGTACTTCATCGGAAAGAACTGCGGTAGAGCCCTCTACCGGTTACTTTCACAATTTTCGGGGTCAATGGTCCCCCTCGCGATGGTAGAAGCACCGTTACTCTCACAGAATTTTCACCCTGCAATGCTTAGCTTCACTGAATACACGTTTCTTGGGACATGGGTGCGACAAAGCTGGCGATTGAGGCCCTGGAGCTTCGGGCGACGCTACTCTCTGCCTCAAAACTCAAAATTCGCGATAACAGCACCGACTCCGAAACTATGCGCGGCCCATGGAGCTCAGTAATGGTAATGTTAATTTCTATAATGGGTATATAGATCGACCTTTTCGTCGGTAGTATTCCAGCTCTGGCCAAGGCCTGGAGAGTGTCCCCTCTTCGGTTTCCGTAGAGGAAGGTTAGGATACCGAGGCTGTTCTTGCCTTGCCGGAAAACTTCGAGGTTTGATTTCAGCATCATGTCCTGTCTCCAGTCTCCAGACGCTCACCTGGGTGTCTCTAATTTTCCTTCTTATCTGAAAGTTATAGGTATTCAAACATGGTGCTCCCGAGACTGAATATGCAACTTCGATTGTATCGCTGTTGTACAAGGTGGGGCAGTATATTCTCCCCATTTTGTTTTGATCATGGAACCAGAACCATGAGGGCTAGCGAAGTTCTGTTTGCGGCAAAATGTTTAGGAGGACTCGCCCTCTCCGGAAAAAATTCCTTCGGTCCGATATCTCCAAGCTGGAGAACGAGAATGAGCGGGAAAGCGAGGAATTTTTTTTTTCACAGAAATCAATACCGAGCTTTATGAGAATTACGTTAGCTGAACTTCAAAACGTCAACTTTGAACGTCCACCTGGTGGGGAGTCTCGGACCAGAGGATTTATTTTCTGAAACTGCAAGTCCTCGTGGTCATTCTACTGTAAGCAGGATTCCGCTAGCCGCCTTGGTTCGGATTTCATGGGGAGCATTCAAAATAGGGAATATATACTGCCTCACCCTGTATGTTCTTTTGAGGTGTTCGGTCCTCTCGTACATTTTTGTTTGTATGCCCACTATCTCTATCATACTCAGTACGGCTGTTGGCCACCTGTCATGAGACAAGACTTCGATTCTTTCCATATATCTCAGTTTGCTTTGGGCTTTCCTCGCTTCAAAGGAGGACCACCCGAGCTCGCCGGCGATACATTCGTCCTATTGGTTTTATAGGATGTGATTCCTAATGAGCGTTTCCCCGCATCTCTCTGTCGTCGTTCGAGTTTTGCGAGTTATTTTCCCAGTTGCAGTATTGCGTTTGCGTAGGTCAATTGCGGTACTTACTGTGTTCTGGAAACTTCGAATCGATTGAAGCCCCATATGGAAGTTGCGTGCATTCTGTGCAATGCTACTGCAGATTGTTTTTCCCAGATATCTTCCTGTGCTTTTAGGTAGTTCTTGGAATCGGATGGGACAATTCCAAGATCTTCGTCAGCTTTGGCCGATGAGTAATCCTAAGTACCCTCCCTCATCAGATTTGTGTATCGCCGATTCGGCTCGGCGAATGAGGATCAGACTCATTTCTCAGCGCAGGGGTTGACCGTTCATAACTCCCTTAAGCCGAGGCCTCGAGTTCCTCCGCTTCCTGCTTCATGCCTCCGATGAATTCTCGAGGTCGAAGGGTCCGCTTACGCCCGGGAGGACCCTTCAAGGCCTCCGATCTCCTAGCTGTGGGACGCTGTTCCACACGATATAGTAAGGGATCGAGTGTATAACAATTGTGATCATAGAGCTTTTAGAGGAAGCAGGATTAGGACCGACCAAATTCGAGAACTGTTCATAGAAAGGGCCTTGCGCGCCTCCGACTGATCGCGTATCCGGTTCTGCTCGATACCTGGGATCCGATGATATTCCGATCGATAAACGGCGAGCGGTGCGGCGTCTGAATCGTTGCCTCCGCTGCTGCTTGTCTCCAGTGACAGACGTTGCTGAATCAAGACGAAATTCAAGTCGTAGATGGATTGTGGGAAGAACTTCCGCGATAAATTGGAGATATGCAGTACGGTACGATATGTTCATTCCATGTGCGCCGACGCGGACTCGGATCGAGAATCAAAACCATGACAGGCCTTTCCACTTGAGTGTCCGATAGGATTTGAAACGCGCGCCGAGCCGTGAGGGTGAGGGGAGCTACGTTCGGGTAGCGATAGCGATGTTAGTTGGACCTTGACACGTGGCCGACCGCGGTTACAGCGAAGCGAGATTTGCGTTAATTCTCTCCCTCCGAGCGGTGTCATCGCTCGGTAGTGACTGAATTCGACTAGAGTACAACACCGTCTCCGCGTTTCTCCGAGGTGAGCGTCTCTTAGAGGGAAGGGTCGGTAATGACAGTTCGTTCGAAACGACTGTCGTCAAATCGAACTCCGGATTTCGCGGAGAGTAGCCTCCGGGCCCGAATCCTAACTCACTCAGAGGTTCGAGTTTGAGGACTTGTTCGGGTTTAGAGTCGTTCCGCGTCTTTTCGCGATCCTCGAATTAGGAGCTGAGTTTCGGCCCGACATATGGCTCGACTTTGGCGGGCCGGCAAGCTCTGAATCTCGTGGGAAACTGTCAAACACGGTCCCTCGACAAACACCTGATCGTCGTTCGATTCACACCATGTGACTAAAGCTCGAGAAAATCTCGGAAAGAGAGTCCTTATGGAGTGTGTGATGAACAATTGGGTCGATCGTCGTACTTCATTGAAGCCGACTACACGCTTCACCGGCGGCGTTTCGAAATTCCCATTGCAATCGGGAAGAGGTTTCGAATCACGAAGCCGCCGGAGGAGGCTCCGACAGACTATCCTTGGAGCGTCAGCTGCTCCGTAGCCGTCGAGCTCGTCGCTTCGGCGTGAATGAATCGAAGTCCGACCTCGGCGCTTAAAAGTTCTCACGTATTTTATTTCTCTCGTCGCGTTCCAGAAGCATGGCTGCGTTCAAGAGCAAGAAATCATCGAAGTCGCCCCCGGTGTTTTCAAACGAGTTCATCCTGCAGAACCATGCCGACATCGTTTCGTGCGTTGCGATGGTGTTTGTGATCGGCTTCTTCATGAACGTGAGTGTCTCTGCTCCGTCCTGCCCCTCGGTCTCGATTTCCGACTCTCCGACGGATTCTGCCTATAAAAAATCGGCGGAAATCAGCTCGAAGCTCCTCCTGACTTTCTTTCCCTAACCGTAGGTCACCCAGCCTTACGCTGCCCCCTTTGTTACGCTACAACACAATGTTACCGAGTGTGAGTAAAAGTTCCACATGTAGCCGCTGCATATGACTCCGCGACCGAAGGAACCTGTTCCGATCTCATGAACCGATGCTGAATTTTGAGAAATCTGAATATTCCCTTCTTCTACAGTGCAAGCTCCGCTGGTCCTGTACACGTCGGGCACGCGGGACCTTTGTTTCATATTCTTCGCGACCCTGATAGCCATTGTGCTCCACGCCATCCTGCAGGAATACGTCCTCGATGTAAGCAGCCGATCGGATTTGATTTTATACCTTGCGGCTCTCATCGAAAGGCTGCCATTGTTCTCCGGATGCCTTAGTCGCCCGGCTCATCCGCCACGGCTCGTAAATCGCGGGATGGAGGATCTGTCGCCTCGCTTCCATCGAGCGAACCTGACGATGTGACCCCAATGAAGACCGAGTATGCTCATGAGCGTTTCCAATTTCAGAAATTGAATCGAAGGGTCCATCTCTCACGCTCGAAGCACGCGAAGTTCAATATGTCCGGACAACTCGTGACGTTCTACTCGCTGTCGGCAGTCTGGGCTGCCAATATCCTGAACAACGATGGCTTCTTGCCGCTGAGTTCGCTGTGGGCTGGATTCCCGGGAGCACCTCACGACACGATGTCCTTCACCGTGAAGCTATTCTTCATCTCGCAGATCTCATACTGGCTCCACATGTACACAGAACTCTATTTCGAGAAAGTCAAGCGCGAAGAGTACCTGGGAAGGATCGCCACGGCCACGACATACGTTGTTTTGTTCTTCCTCGCCTACGGTCTCAACCTCTGGAGGATCGGACTCGTTCTCACGTTGATCCACTACTCGGAGCAGACGTTATTCCACGTTGCGCGACTCGCCTATTTCTACAACCATCCACAGGCGAAAACTCTGTGAGTTGCATCACGCTCCGGATCGTACTCCGGGACGAGAGAATCCAATCCGTCGAAATCCATGAGCTGTTCTGTTCGGAGCTGATCTGGAAAAATTCATACTCATTCGCAGGTTCTACGTTTGGGATTTCGTGTTTTGTGCATGCCGACTCCTGACCACCTCGTTGGCTTTCCTCGTTTTCTGGTTCGGAATCCCTTCGACCATGTTCACCCTCCGCGTGGCGGGACTCTTGCTGATCGGTGCGACTCAATTGTACATGCTGTTCGCGTTCTCCTCATTCCATATTGGTCGATTCCGAGCCTACCGAGCTGCTTCGCAGAAATCCTCGAGGAGACTCAACAAGGAAAAAGGTGAATATCCTCAAGCAGCGATCGGTCGCGGCAAAAAGTATTTTATGGACTAGAAAGTCCTCCCACGGAGACCTCCCACTCCTGCCATGTCGAGAATGTCCCTTATCGTGATTTCTGTTCCAGCCAAGTCCCCTAAGGTTGTGGACAAAACTCTCCCGGAAGTCGACCAGTCGGTCAGCATGTCCAGACCCGTCGAGAAGGAGGAAAACATTGTTAATCAATCGCCGAAAGATACCAATGTTAAGAAACGGTTGAAGGCTCGCGCCTGATCGGATCATCTGTGCTGCTGTACATAGACGAATAGTGTGGGTGGGGTTCGCTATTTCTGTGAAAGGACATCTTTTTACTCAGGGATCGGTCGCAAGTGTCTCGATTGTCAACATCTCCTAAGATTGCCGTCGGCAGAAAATTAAAATCATCAACGAATTTTCCATCCTCTCTCGTAGCGCGCGATCCAAGCTAATATCGACTGACGATGAGACGAATCGCAGTGATTCCTCATCGACTATGTATTTCAATGTTCGTCGCGCTATAGTAAGGTCAATGCTTCCGTGGTGCAATGGAGCCGTGCAATCGAGAGGAATACGCGATTTCTGGAAAGACAGATGATGTTGTATGTTCGCAAATGTGTGTATGGTTCCGATATCTGACCATGATTTCTGAAGACAATCTGCGGAACGCCAGTTTGGCGCTTTGCGGCGAGAACATATCATCATGGTATCAGAGAGGGAAACTGTTCATGGTCGAGGTAGTCAATGGAATAAGGCCCAGTTTCGCTCAAGGGAAACCGCCTCGGGATTCGACCGACTTTTCTCAATCGTCTCGGCATCTCTCGGGGCTCCGAAAGTGGTGACGAATGTATTCTCGGAGAGAAAGTTAAAACTGTGTACGGGTACGAACAACCAACATACTTTCTCGTTGTCTGGCAGATCGAAAAGAAGAAGTTCGATTCTTATTTAAATCGATGATTAAAATGAGAAAGAATTTTTATCCTAATGTCGACGGCTCCTATCTGGAAGCTATCGCCATCTATGGCTGTGTAGAGCGGGACTCCCCGGGTGGCTCCGTATCGTACGGAATTCCTTTTCAAACCCAGAATAGCTCACAGGGTAAGGGGCGATCCGTTGTGCCACAAATCTCGTGAGAGGGGCTTGTCGTGGGTCCTACGGACGTATTTACACAGGTCTCTCCGGTAGAGATCGGGAACCGATTCCGGGACGACGACTTCTCGCAATCATAGGCAGAACAATTCCACCGGATCCCCTCTCGCGTGCCATGGACCAAGTATTCAGCGACTTCAGAAGTTTCAAACTTTCACGCGGACTCTTCTCGATCCCGAAGGACAAGAGCATCTGAATCAATGTCGCACGCCAGAGTTTCCTCAGCTTTGAAAATTCTTCGAATGGTCTTCCATGGCCACGGCTGATTATCCTCATATCTCAGACGGGATGAGCGGACCCGATTGATCGAGTGTCTATCACTACATATCTGATGTTTCCGGTTCACGATACATTTACGGATTCAAACGCGAGAGTCGTTCCCATTCCGTTCAGCTCGATCGTCTGGAGTGGATTTGTGGCCGGTGTTCCTTTGAGTACATTCGCGGCTGTCTCACCCTCGGCAGTTACATATATCTGTTCAAAATGAACCTGCGAAATCCAAGATCGAGGGTGTCGAGTTTCTCGAGTCGGAGTTTCATCAGTTTTTTATTACGAAGACTGCATCTCAAGAGGTGAGGCGAGGAGCTTTGTTCCCTCCCGTCATGTGATTCGACGCCACGGAATTCGCGATCAGGGCGCGGCGAATCTTAAAACTAGATTCCGTCAGATTTCTCAATAAGAAGAGAGTTTGTCAGGCGGCATGTATCCTGAGTCTCCGATGCATCTGACGAGGACTTTTCCAGTGGGGTGGATCGACACCCAAGTTATCGAACCGTTGTTGAGACTGAAGCGGAGCCATGCTTCGGGAGGCAACTGGAGGGCTCGGCAAACGAAATACCTAGAAAACGGATATTTGTTAGAACCTCCGGAAGAGCTGCGAATACTGCATTCCGCCGATTGTCGGGGACTTCGGGGAATACCGAATGATAGAATGACGTACCTTATCACATTCGCATGGCAGACTAGCAGTTCGTACGAATCAGTTTTCTGTTCAGGATCCGCTCGATGGAAGTATTTACGGAAGCCTGCTTCGATTACCGCACCCTCCTGGGAAGGACAATTTTCGAGAAATCCCTGAATCCGAAGAATTCGGAGGCGAGTATCGACTACATTGCATGGCTAGACTCTACCCGAACGAGGTCTACCTGGAAGAAATCCTTTTCAGCCGGCTGCCACGCAAGCAGTTTCGGTTCTGGTTGACAAGGCGCGCCTTCCCGGATTAGGTTGCACTTTTCCCGAGGTCCAGAGATGTGATTGCAAATGATATCCGCGGTCTCGGTGGCCCGGGTCATTGTTGAATTGACGATTCGATCGAATTTAATCCCTAGCGCCTTGAGCCTTTTAGAGGGAGAATGGGAAGTAGACGATTCAGACATGGCCATGAATCGGACGTTTCTGATCAGCTTCGCCGGACGATTAGCATCTGGAAGTTTGCTCACAATCAGATAGGCGGTCGACTCACCTTCTCCCGGTGAGGTCTGCTTGTTCCCTCCCCAGGCTCGTGAGTTTCCTCTCGGGATCCGTCGCTTTGGAGCTAAGGTATTGACCGTGTCTCACGAGGAGAATATGCCGGATCGCGGTCGGCGTGCTAGCTTCGATCTGTTCGTTGCGTCTGGAAGAAATTATCTCGGCATCCCGATCACGAACGCGTGTGGCTTCCCTTCGGTATGAAAACGCGCTCTGGAACCTTAGTCGCCGGAAAGCAACCTCAGACGTAATCTCGCGTCTCGCGCGAAGAATGGAATCATCAAGATAGATACCCACTTGTTCTGCTCAGCAGGATCTGATGGAGATTTCAGCTTTGTGACACAGGAGCACGGGTCTCGGAAATCCCAGTTGTGGTCCCAAAACTGAGGCTTCTCGGTGGTCATGGCCCGTGAGGCATGGACGCGATCCGGTTTCAGAAGCATCGCCGTCAACGCTCCTCCCGCTCCGACAGCCACCGTGCCTAAGACTCGTCGAAGCATCTGCGAGTTCAAGTTCACGAATTAGGTCGCTCCCAGTTCCCTCCTCAAGAGTTCAGATCCTCATCAAGTGCTTCGCAGGTGGGTTGATCTTCTACAGAGACATTCCAGCAGATGCATTGAATTGAATGATACCCCGTATTCGAGTGACGATCCGGCGAACATAAACAGTCCACATCGCCGCTTGGCCGGAGAGCGGAGAGCCGCAAGATCCGCTGAGCGAAATTGAAGCACCCGGCAATCCAGAGGAGAAAATGGGATCATATATCCGCTGTCGTCCGGTTGGCTCATCCGGAGGGCATCCCCAAGGGGATGTGAGCGAACGCGGCGGGGGAAAAGTTTTTTCTCCCGCGGAAACTCAGGTTGAGCGCCAATGAAGAAATCGAACATAGCCTTTGACTTACGTCGGAACCGACCCGAGATTACTGTATGCGCGGTTATTGGGGAGTGTTATGAACGAACAAAATCACCTCAGCGAGCTCTGCCTTCGGATATCAGCTGGTCGGCGATCCGAACCCTTCCACGCGAAGCGGCACAATGGACTTTCATTCTTCCTGGACCATCGTCTGCATCGCGATCACACAAGTCCGCGGAAAAACAGGGGGAAGAACTTTTGCTCTTACGCAAGTCACCGCAGGTAACCTACCTTGAATAGTTCAGCGTCGTTCCGATCGAATCTCCGCGCGACCGCAGGCTTCGTTTCTGCTTTCCCGAGAACGCGGTTCTCCTCACGCGTGCGCGTGAGGGACCGGTTTATACACACAGCAGACGCTCGCATTCCAGTGCCGTTTGAAAGCATTCGGGGCGCGCCGATCCCTTGACGGGCTCCATGGAGTCGAGCTTCCCTCGCGGCTCGAGCTGTAGATGCCCTGGGGCCGGAATCAATTCTTGACTCAAGGGAGCTCTCATCACACCGAGGAAGAGACCCCGCAGTACTTTGACCGTCGGGAAGATGTCGGTACAACCGTCGACGAAGGCACCTGAGGTCGTCTCTCAACGTTCTTATCCGATTCCCTTATCGGTCGGATCCTAGATCTATATCAGTCAGGCTCTAGGAATGGGTTCCTAGGAACCCGTGAAATCGTGTGCCGGCGATCTATCCAGCACAAGCTCTCTCTCTTAATCAAAGTGTTCTCCGCTATCGTTTTCCTAAGCTTTCTTTACACGCGCGGTGCAACTCGGAGGTTCCGCGGTTCCAGGTGGAATCCCATCAGGAGGGAGCATATCTGAGAGGAACAGTAACGTCCTTCGGGATCGGTCGGACAAAAGATATGAGCCCTCTCCAATCTATGGGTCCATGGCGTAGAGTTACGACTTTGCAGTGAGTGACGTGCTCGCGATGCTGAGTTTTGATCAGAAAAACAAGTCGTCCATCTGGCTGTACGAGCCCGCACGCGAAGTTGGAAAAATTGTGTTACTCCCATGATTCCCAGACCCCTGTTTGGCTGGAGGGAATTTCCTACCGAGTCCGAAAATCGTCTACCCGACCCTGGCGCCGGGCCGAGAACTTCCTTTGCGAGGGAGCAAGAGGAATCTGGAGGGGGGCGAGGGCTTGAAATGATGACGCGTCTTCCAGAGGCTTCGAACTCAGAACCGCAAGCGGAAATTTCCCCGGGAGAGTGGCTCAGCCAGTTCGTTGGGAAGTAGGGCTCGGGCGTCCTCTCATCTAGTCCAGAAGGACCGAAACCGCATGTCGTCGGCAGAATTCTGTCACTAGTCGTGTGTTCTGCCGATTGCTCCCTCCGGATGCTCATTGCATGATCATGGCTGTCTTCCAATGTGAGCTCATTTCAAAGAAAAAGCTTGAGACGTGGACCCTCGCGTGCAAATCGTCAGGAATAATCGGCTCATTTATTGTACATGACTTGATCAAAGTTTCAGTATTCCTCATCAGGGTTCCATCTGTTTCAAGGATATCGATTCTGTGTATCTCGGCGTCTTCGGTGGCAGAGGGCACCGGGAGAAATTGTGTTCATTTACAGACACCCGGGATTCGTTTTGCGAGCCTCAGAGGGACACTCAGCATCATTCAGCGGTTCTCCATCTTGGTTTTTGGCGGTTTGAGAGCTTTACTCTTCTTCTTCTTGGTGAAGCTCTGCCACGAGCTGACACGACCCTCTCGAGATTCTTCGAAGTTCTTCTGCCATTCGGATTCGTCCTTCCGCTTCTCCTGGTCTTCCAGCTCTTTCTCGCGTTTTCGCTTCCTCTCAACCTAGAAGAGAATCATTCACATTACAGGAGTCCTCGAATCGGCTCTAAATTTGAAATTGATTTCATGAATAGGGAATTCTTCCCCACCTGATCTTTCTCTTCGAGGGATCGTCTCTTCCTTTCCAACTCGACAAAAAGTTTCGTTGTCTGAACATAGATGGCTTTCTTGTATTCCTCCGGATTGTCTTCCGGAATTTTTTCCCCTTTGGCCTTTTTTCTCTTGTCTGCGATCTGGGAAAGGCGGGAGACTTGGGAAAATCGTTTCGAGTCTTCGAATGTCTCGGACGAGCCTTGCGCTCTCCCATTCCCGAAATCATACATATGCGGGATCGGGAAGTCCAATGAGGAGCAGTCGTACCTGGGCATTGGCCATCTCAGTAGCTTCCTCAACGATGGCGAGGGCTTTCGCTCTCATCTTCTCATCTTTGAGGGCTTCATTGGCTTTCTTGACGATATCGAAGGCTTGCTGAGCACGTTCCTGATCATTTGGATTTTTGTCCGGATGCAACAAAATGGAAAGCTGTCGGTAGCGCTTCTTGATGTCTTCTAGCGAGGCACCGGTATCGATCTGAGGAAAGTAAGCGCAACGGGATTCATTCGCGTCTATGCGCGAGATTAAACTCAATCGAAATTAGAATATGGCAAGTGGTCACCAGCGATTCCTAATAACAAGCAGGACGTACCTGGAGAACCTCAAATGGATTGAGATTGAAGTACGTGGCACCGGGCCGAAGGAGACGATCGATCTGAGTTCCAGATGTCATTTTGGAATCTTTTTCCTCGATGCTTTTGACTTCGCTCAGGAACTGAGACATCACCGTCTCATCCATGGCGCTGCCACCCGCCATCTGGAAGAATGTTTCAAAATTTTATCGAGCGGAAATCTCTGAGGATCTTTGCTCAGAGGAGCGTTCCGGTGTCGAAGATCAGGATGCCTCCCCGGAGAAGCTGAAATCGATCATGCGAGGGGCTCCTGCCCTCATTCTGGCGCAAGGCTCTCGGTTGATGAGTTCTACCGGAGCGATGCGATGGAGTTGATTGTTCTCCCGGGCTTCCTCTCCGTATGGAGACCGAGCTCGAGCTTTTTCTTAAAAGTGGCCGGGTTTTTCGAACTACCGGCTTCATTTCCGGAGGAGGGAACCGGCGATTCTGATTCGGGCAGAAAATACAGACGATATTCACCTTGACCGTATTCGAGAATCCAATGGAGGGATTGTCCCCGCTCCTGAGCTCACAATGGATATGTGTGCAGGAATTGTCGAGGTCTACGAAGCTCCGTTCATTTGCATCTAAGCGTGAGAGTCAACTCGCGAATGTGCACGGTATACCCTCGTACAGTTTCACGACTGATTGAATAGAGCGTACGTTTGTACGTACGCAACGGCACGAGAAATGTCGGAAAAAAGAACGCGGGGTAAAATTCGGCAAAAATAGAACCGCTCGACTTGGCGAGAGACTCAACAAAATGATGTGGATGATCTCTACTGACGCGTCGGAGTAGAGCGGGCTGCTCTTCGTCTTGCCTTCTGCAGAGTCTAGCGACTTTGAATCGCTTGCGGCGCACTCTCTCTGAGCGGCCGGCGCAGGGAATCGCGATCGATATTTCCAGTGACTTCGAACGATTTGCCCGATGTCTCCCCGGGCTGCACAAGGGCGGTTTTTGCCCGATGACGTAGGACTTCGGCAGGCAGCACGCGTGGGAAGCCATTCGGTCAGAGATTTCGAATCGAGCCGTAATTCGATCGCGCCTTCTCACGTCTGCTGTTGCGAACTTCTGCTCTGACGCGAACCATATCTCAGGAATTTGTGTAAACAGATTACCTGATCCTTGGTGGCGAGAAACGGGGTGAATATTCCAAGATAGACCGGTTTTCCGTACATTCGAAAGGGTGTTTCCGTCAGGCTCCTGGATGCTCGCGCTGTCACTGCGCGGGACTTTTCTGGGGGAGCCGCGGACGAATTTCTGGTGTAGGTCCGGGCCGTCAGGGTTTGTCAATTCCAAGGGATGGTTCCGAAACGGATCGACTCCATCCGCCACGGTTGTGTTCCCGCCATTCGGTTCAAACCTATTCCGCCCAACTCTATCGAGAATCGAGAAGTGAACGAAGTTAAAATAAAATCTCACTCGCCGGAATTGAGCTGCGAATTCCGGCGAGTGAGACGGTCCTTTTAGGGGAAAAAGAAGGGAGAGTAGGTAGGAGCCGCGGGAGCCGCGTGGGCACTGGGTATCCTGGGAGCCGCCGGAGCCGCATGGGCACTGGGTATCCTGGGAGCCGCGGGAGCCGCGTGGGCACTGGGTATCCTGGGAGCCGCGGGGGGATTCTGGGTTCGCTAGGGAGCCGCGGAGCCAGAAAGGTTGGGAACCGCTTATCTAAAGTGTTGCCTTTCACTCCATGGAGTGATGACCAGGTGGCTCTACAGACATAGTTTTGTCCGTGTCCTTAATGCGCTCCCAGACGAATGATAGGATCACCGTGGGAGGCAAAATTATGTACACCGATTCTGGGCAGTATACCGGCGTCAACTCTTAACTTGGGTCTTCCTCAGAGACTTCGAACTCCCCTCTTCGCAAGTGCTGTTTGCCATTCTGCGATCGTAGAGGAGCAGACTTCAGGAACGGTGTCTCACCCCTCGAGACGACAGAGTTCTCGATGAAGGTTACAATCGTGCATCCGGCCTCATCCTCGGAATCCTGTTGTCCTCGAGTACCGTGTGAACTACGCTTTCTGAATACCTGATTGAAACTGGTTACCTGAATGAAAATGGAGAATAGTGGACGGGTCCAGCAGGATGATAGGGGCAGTCAGGCCTCGGGGTGTCCAGAAGCGTCCGCCCGAGTGTTCCCAAAAGACGATCCTCTTTACCCAGAGAAAAACATTGAGACAGACAAGGTTCTGGACCGAACTCCCTGAGACGGAACGCTTGGTGCACGTAAATCCAACCATGACTTGGAAAAAAAATCGAAACTGAAGAGAAAACGAATCCTCCGATCTCTACTGTGTCGCGAATCAGGAAGACTCTCGAGACTCTGATGGATATTCCACCCTCCTTATCTTCTGAGCTCCGTCGCCGAGGACCTTCAACACATCAGATAATCGCCCAGCCCAAAGCCTATGAGGGCTGAATAAAAAGAATAAACACTGGACCCTGCTCGTATTCTTCCTTCAATGAAAACTCCTCAGAGACATCGCTCCGGCATTCATACGCCTGTATTTGAAAGAGCCAAGCCTAAACATTCGATTCGACGATCCCCGGATCTAGTGGGGCGAATCTCGCTGCGGCGCGCGTCCTTGGAGCCTATCGAGTCGGTTGGAAAGCGATCGCAGAGCCCGAGCTCTGAGCTCCAGCTCGTCCGTGTCCATGTCTTCCAGTCTTGTGGGGGACGCTTCCCCATTCGACGCCACGGTCCGCTGAAAACAGTCCTCCGACTTGTATGAACCGTTGTGGATACATAAGCGAGCGAGAATGGAACGAATGCTTCGGAGAACAGACTCACGTCCAGAGCCGTATTGGACTGCGTCTGAGAGGTTTCGAACGATGTTCTCTCGACGCTCGGAGTTCGAGACCATCGACGGTTGCCAGATCCCGAGGTCCAGGATGAGGAAGCCGGGGAATCATTGGTTCCGAGTGCTAGTGTGCGACTGGGGCTCTTCGATCTCGCAGAATGGTTGTTCGCGCCGTCTCGCAGAGTTGACTTCGAGATTTCACTCTTGTTGCCGCTACGGGATTTAGCGGAATGTAGTGGGGACTGCGATTCGCGAGATCGTCGACTCTTCGCCCTGTCATCCTGATCAGCCTCCCGGCTAGGACCCAGTGATTGCTCTGAGGAGATATAAAATGGGATGAGTTTGGGATTTTCTCATATAATCCTGTCTGAAAAATTATGAGAATGCTTTTGTTTGACGAGATGAGCTCCATGGTTTCGACGCCCAGGACCACAGTCTCACAGATTCTGTGCCTTGCCCAACATGTTCTGGAGTAAGTCAGGGAACGATGCCGCCATCGGGCCATTAGCGAGAGGAATTCCAGGTCGCCGAAAGGAACGAAGACGGAAATATGAGGGCTCATCCTTTCTGCCCTGGCGCAGCCAGTGGAAAAGATGTCCCGGTAGGGGAGAAACCAGAGGCGGCTTGAGACCCGCCCTCGCGTCATCTGATCTTGATGGTTGCATGGCTCCGTGAGGCATGGCTGGCCCTGGCGTTTCATTCCCGAGATTCAAGACACAAACATCTCTGCGGCCGCCGCCGTCGCCTCCGCATAAACAATTTGCCCAATCCGAGCAGGAACCAACTCACAAACAGGAGAATGCGGTTCGTGAAAGATGCTCAGACCTCCCCCGGCCGTCTCATCGCCCCCTCCCCGTACTCTCGACCCTGCTACTCGGTCATATCCCCATTTGGTCCCCATTCCGCTTATTCCCCATCTACCCGCACGTTCATCCAGTCTGCTACCGGGTAACTGAATCCAGCAGATTCCTAATGGTTCCTGTTTGTGACACGCGGTTATGATGCATTTTCCAACTCTGAACGAACGAACCAACAAATAAATAAACAAGCTACCGAGCAGCCTAAGGGACGGGATTCTATTTTCATATTATACGTGAGATTCTCCCGCATGAAATTCTAGGTCTTGCACTTATTCCCTTGCGAGTCCGACGACGGGGAATTTCCATCGAGTGTGAACGTTCGGCTTCCGATCGAGGAATCACTGATTGTTACGCTAAGGACTTTGCGAACTGTCGCGCATTTGCTACGAGGAGGATAGGGTCAACGACCGGGCGCACACCCTCCGTCGGATGCCCCGACCTGTGGCCAGAGAAGCATAAAATTCGTTGGATTTTGATAGTTAAGACGATGATGACGTCAGAGCCATAAATCGGAAGGCGAATGAGTTCTCCTCTTTTTCCCGTCCCCCTCCCTCGAGAGAGCATTCGGAAGGCCCCGCTATATGCTCACTCTTCACGACGATGACGAAAACTGGCGATGGCTCCCGGCGAGCATCCGAGCCACGGGGTGAGCGAACAGGCAACCCCTCATCCGAAGTGGGCGATTTAACCAACCAACTAACTAAGCAAGTGAGCGTCCCAACAACAGCCTTCCTCCTTCAGCAAAACGCCTTAGTTGCTGCTGCTCGCCTGGTTGGTTGTTTGAAACGCGTGCTGCCAACCGCAGTCAGTCAAGAGGTCCAAAAAAAACCCTTCCGCCGTCACCGCACTTAACTTCAACGAGGGAAAGAGCGGAGAGATTTGATAATCAGTTTAGACTCCTCTTCCATGACTGCCTGGAGGGCCCGCGCCGTTTCCTCACTCCCGACTTCGCCCTCAGTCCCTCGCAGCCTCGTTCGTTCTTGTCTTTCATCCTTCTACTAATAATCATCAACAATAACTAGACAAGAGGGAGAGAGCGTAACTTGATTTGAACGCAAACAACTCTCCCCTCAGGTAGCTTGACGGAACACGGGGGGAAGACTCCGTTCTCGGCTGACTGACTGGAGTGAACGCGTGTGAGTGACAACAAGAACGAGCCGCTGCTGCGCCGAAAGTTAAAAAAAGAGCCGCCCCGAAGTGAATTGTCAGACCAACCGAACCCTCTTGGCCACAGCAGTAGTGAAGCCAATAGAATTAAGGCAGATTCAGGCTAACTCGAAATTTCCCTTCTTTCCCGTCGAGTCGAGCATGCCAGAATAAAGAGAGCTGGAGGGGGGAACAGCCCCTGATTCGAGTTCTTCGCATACCCAAGACGTCGGTCGAAGACTTCCTTTAGCAACCGCCCCATCACTAGGACACCAAGCCGGTGGATGGCGGGCCCGGAATCTCGCCCCAGGACCTCGAGCTGTTAAAGGTCCTGATTTTTGGAGGAAGTACCCACCGAAACGTCTCAAAGTCCCGCTGCGCTATTTCCGCGAAGAAAAAGGAGTCAACTCGGGGAAAAATCGGCGAAATCCTCCAAGACTGGCGCCCGATTCTTGGAGCACACAATTTTCAGATGTCCTAGATGACTTCGAGGGAAATGCTCGAAATGCACAAGGAGATATTATGAAAGAGTCAGGAGCCGACAGGGCGGATAAATGCTGGTGAAGCTACTTAATGAGCCCGCCTGACCAACGGCCATGCATCAACCCCAATTTTAACTCTTCTTATGTTGAGCTATGTACAAGGCGCACACAACAAGCTGCCGCATCCTCTGCGTGCTCACGCTTAGCCACATATCCGGCGGGAGGCTGCCAAAAACAAGCAACACATATATCTTTATGAAGCTCACTCGTTCTTATAAGGTCTAAGCTCGCCGGTGGTAGTGAAGGTGGTGGACGCATGCAGCAGCAGCACCGGAAGCTTGTGGGTCGGGGATGGGCATCGTGAAGGCGCATCTATTTCGCTGATCTGGATGCGAGCCCCGATTTGAGCTGGCACGTCTGCGTCCCTCCAACACTTGCTGCATTTCTAAATATAGCGACGGAGAAGTGGCAATTAATTTTAATTCTCGACCGAACCCAAAACTCGATGTCGGTCTATCGGTCCGCTGTCCATCGTTGGGTGAATGGCTCGTGGTGGGCGACCGGTCGGCAGCATCGGAAAACAGCTCAAAAGATGAATGGCTGCTGTCAGGGGCTGTTTTTGTTTGAACACGAGGGAATGCATGATTTTTTCCCTCGCCTCGCATTTGTTGGTTCATTATTAATGGCTCGCGACGAAATGCTGCGAAAAATCTCAAGTAACTCCTTCGTGTGAGGGTGACCGTGTAAGTGCAGGCAAGTGAAAGAGCGCACGGCGAGCAATACTCTTGAGAGTTGCCAAGTTTCACTTTATCACAATGAAATATTCATTCTTGTCGGCGAGCGAGAGCTCGGCTTCCTCAGTCCGGTCGCATCCCACGTAATATGAGCCTGCGAACTGCGAACGCAACAGCGAGCCGATTCGGGACCGGAGAAAATCGACTGCGTTATAATCGAAAGCAGGTATCGCAATGCTCTATGGCAGCGGGTCCCTGAGTCCGCTCATGCTTCGTGACCAACTGGAAGCATCCACGATCGACATGCTCGCCAGCCATTCGCCCGACGAATGTCGGAACACACACAATACGAGAGAGACGGGGAGAAGATCGAGTGCGGGAAAGGCGAACTCATTTGCGCTCGCCTTAATTCCTTCATTCCGAGTGGTCCAATTCTGTTTCGGTTTCATAACGCGTGTTATATCCATTAGCTATGTCCACCGGTAGGATATGGATGTAGGAGAAGGGCTGCAGCGAGGGTCCAGCGGCCGGCTCCGGCGTAGGTGGTAGTACCTGGTGAGCTTTATGAAGGCTTCTAATTAAAAAATATCATCGCTAGCCACCCCGAGCCTCGACTTGGCTCGTCATCCACTCGTCCGTACCGTTGCAAAATGAACGGACCGTCCAGCGATCCGGGAGTGGACATGGACGCTAGACTTCATTTGGACATTCGACTTGTTGGCCGGCTCTCGCGAGGCGAATCGCATATTTGTCCGATGAATTTTTTCCCGGTCCCGCGGACCAGATCGAAATGTCACAAAACGACCCTTTTGAAGAGAGTGAAATCCTACAGAGAAGTTGCGGAGAGGCTTCCGGCTCCATTCGGATTATTATTAACGCGGGCGTTGTGGCAAACTTCGAAACGAGTCGAGAGTGCGTTTAGAGATGAGTGCGCAGAGCGACGTCGCTCCGAATCGGTCACTCCTTGTTGAATCGCACGGTTTTCAGGAATTGGAATTCAAACTCCAGTGTTGGAATGCGAGCTCCGAATGCAGTCGACTTTAGCTCGTGCACGGAACGGCTCTATGAAAAGTATATTAAACTAGTTCGCGTCGGCCTCACGTTCGTTGCTGGCTCGCTCGGTTAGTCCGATCGTCGTTCCCGGAGTCACTACTCTGAATTAAGTTGCAAGCGTAGCAGCCGCGTCAGCAATAGCAACTCGCCTACGGGGGCTATCGCGTCGGTGCGGTGAAAGCCGAAGTCGGATGCACGATAGAGAAACCAGGTCGAGTGAGGGGGGAGTCGGGCCCGGGCGATCCTGCTCGCAGAAGAGGGTATATAAATTTTAATTCTCCGTTTAACTGCAACAAGCTATAAGCTGACTCCGCAATCAACCAGCTCTCCTCCGAGTCCACTTCCTTCTCCTCAAAGACTGCTTCTAGACCGAAGAATTCCTCTCCTCCCGCCGAGTGTCGGGAGCGTCCGGGAAAAGCCGGGAGTCGAAGTTTTATTAAACGAAGTGTCCGAGCGGCGAGCTTTCGAAGCGACCGTCCTGGCGGAAGTAGTAGCAACAGCGGGTTTCAACACCGCGAGGAGGGAACTGCGTGGGCTGCAACAAGGGATGAAGACCGGTCTGTTCATTCATCTGTCGGACATCGCACCAGCTGTAGATTCCGCTTTAAAGTCGCGAGCTAAATTAGGGGATGAAGGCACTCAGGCAAAGCGGTGAACAAAGAGGTCGGAGCAGGTTCGAAACTGGTAAGAGTGGCGTACTCAGAAACCGGGAAAGGATGTGTGAACGAGCGAGGATGGAGCTCAACGGCTTCAACCAGTGGTGAATGAGGTGAAAACGCAACGTGACGCGGGACGCATCCATGGAGCGCTTCTCAGAAGCATTTCGAGTACGAGAGAATCGCGAGCATCTCCCGCCTCTCATTCGAATGCCCGTCTGGCTCTCGTGCAGGTGTTTGGAATTAAATTCCACTCCGAAACTCGGCGGTCGTCCCACATTTGCCATTCATGTGGATTTCATTTTACGCGTTGGAAGATTTCGAGTTTTCCCGCGCGCGAAAACAGACGCCGATCGGCTTGAAAAGCTCACGGCTGATGAGATCC